GCCTTGCTCCAAAGCTGTACTGAGTTCTAAGCCCATGAATGTATAGTAATTCTATCCTTTAAAGACGCAAGTCTAGATAAGGGGACAGTACAAGGACCCAAGTCTGTTATTTACATTCTTTTAGAAATTATCATTTAACTATTAATTATTACCTTAGAGACAAGTCTAAGAAAGTCCAAAATCATGTCATTACGTGTATACTACTCAAAATATGTTAGGCATCCCCGATTCGTCCCACATACTTCACCAGTCATGGCAAGGCAGCTTAACTGTACTGATAAGAAAGAATTGTGTGTTCTTGAACTCTTTGAGTAGTATAGTAAGTTTCAGTCAGCTGATGTCGATTTCAATTACTCAACTACAGAACATGCTCAAACAGAATAGTATAAAGCCTCCAGGTATCCCTATAAGGGACCAAAATAAGTTTCCTATCTTATTACCAATTCTTATTTCTTGTCTGTGAAAACATAATTGCAACGCTGTAAATGTTCAAAACAGGCAGTTGGATGCCTCCATCCAGGCTAATTAGGTAACGGGGTTACACGTATGTTCTGTGTGTCTACCGGGAATATGTCTCTGGCATAACTACGTTCTAAAATGTTATACGGACAACCTAATTTTGAGGTCAAGTCTTGTCCAGGAATGGGGACAACAACAGCTGGTGTGCTGGTATGGCATCGTTCGTTGTAATTACTAAACTATCACACAACCACAGGCAAGACATTACTGATTGTTTAATAAAGACCCTTGCCTTGTTGTGGTCTTGACATTGATCTTATTCTGAGACAGTAAAATGCAGCAACTTCAAAACGTCCTGATTGTGAAAGTAAGCGGTCAATAGTAATTGATAAGGGGCCGATATTTGAAGGGAGATCTGCTGGTAAAATTGCCGAGACATTGCTTGAAAATACAAACCCACGCCGTTGAAATATACTGTCTTCCATAAAAAATGTAATGAAGTTTACAAAACTACATTGTGTGAGTTCGAATTAAACCACATTTGCGGTTGTAGGGAAAATATTTTCATACCACTCTCCCCTGTAACATCCCTAATGCTCGGTCCCTAGCATAGTGCGGCCCCATGACTTTCACAGTGACCTTGACCTTTGGTCGGACCTGACAGGATGCATGTTAATATCACGTCCCATTCCTTTAGAGTATACAGTGTCCCAGCAACTGTCGATGTTATATAAACGATGTCCGATAGATGGCCTTGACCTTTGATTGATGACTATTACAAAGGGGAGGAATAATCTCAGAGAAGGTAGATGCCACTTTCATTAGCAACGATATACACGGAGAAAGTGTTACGTGTTCCTGTCTTTTATTCAAACCCGTAACCTTAACTTTGTGCATGTTTTTTTAATCATTACAGGCCCCTTTCTAACGACAGCACGATGTAATCTCTGTTGATAAGGCAGCAATATTTTAATCAGCACCTTACGTAAGATTCCAGTTGACCCAGACGGACTTAATGTCCCCGATGTCATTGGTTCTAGATAAATAGATCAGGAACATCTTTGCTGCCGGATTGATTGGTAAATCTTGGCATTCGTTTGACAAGGCCAGGAACACAGTCACTGCTAATTACATCCAACATCTCGGGAATTGCGGAGTGAAATTTGGAGAAAAGATAACAAATATCAAAGAACTTATCAAACACCCCAAATATATAGAGAACGGTTCTTCGGGCTTGAGTGTTTCGCCAACCACAGGGACAGTTTATAACTGTAACAAGTCAGAAACGCCGCCTGTTCCAATGTCATTGACGAACCACTCTGATATGGAAGGCGCACTTCACATTAAACAAGGACAGCTTCTTTAGATATAACCCAAATTATGTTTTGATATAGATTGTGATTTGACTTCAAAGAAGATTGCAAAATTAAAAGATAATTATGTATACAGACAGCATAAATTTCTCTTGAAGATACTCTTCTCGTGGCCATTCCTTATGTTTCAGGCAGTATGAAATGCGCTCTTGGGAAAGAAAATACAAAATGGTGATAAACGTTACTCTCGCGTGACAATAGCTCATCGCGAGAATTGAGGAGACGTCATTTACCGGCCAAGCAGGCCCCGACCATTTTCGACTCATGCCGCGGTAACCTCTTGCGTCACTTGAAACCGAGAGACCGTCTATTGGCTTACCTTATTAACAAACAACTGGACTATCGCGGAGTTTCTGTGATCTATTCATCTTTTGCCTTTTACGCCCGGTGGATTCTGTTTCGGCAGATAATCAAGCTGTCTATGGCGTTGTTTATATGATTCGACGTAAATACACTTTAACAGTTTGGTGTAATTGGTTTTACAGACGAAACACCGGTCATTCTAAGGAACTAATGAATTCACAAACCAGAAACATGAGTCTCATTAACCAATTCAGACAATGACCTACTTTTCAGCCGATCCGACTTTTCTCGTGTGAAAGTGAAAAGAGACACTACAAACAACTATGGTTACACTAAATTCCAATTCCTTGTTACATAAGAAAATGGTACTTACAAATTAATTTTAATTTTGAAGTGTAAAAAGGTCGTATTTCTATATTTCTATAACACCTGTTATGTGTTCTTTGCGTTTATTAAGTGTATTTTTGTAACGTACAATGTGATATAATATCAAGTCCGTACCAGACCGCCAAACTTTTCTAGCGGCCAAGCCTCGTTTTGAGATTTCCACTATTTCCAGATTTCCGTTTGTCAGAGCACGCTGTACGACAACAAAAATCCTGATTTGCCTAAGAGGGTATCAAGGTATAACCCTGACGACCACAAGAGTCAGTAGTCTCAAAGTCCCACTAAACGATCGTAGCGCTACGCCTGCCGTAAGTACAAAGTCCCACTAAATGATCGCAGCGCTACGCCTGCCGTAAGTACAAAGTCCCACTAAACGATCGTAGCGCTACGCCTGCCGTAAGTACAATGTCCCACTAAAAGATCGCAGCGCTACGCCTGCCGTAAGTACAAAGTCCCATTAAACGATCGTAGTGCTACGCCTGCCGTAAGTACAAAGTCCCACTAAACGATCGCAGCGCTACGCCTACTGTAAGTACAAAGTCCCACTAAACGATCGTAGCGCTACGCCTGCCGTAAGTACAAAGTCCCACTAAATGATCGTAGCGCTACGCCTGCCGTAAGTACAAAGTCCCACTAAATGATCGTAGCGCTACGCCTGCCGTAAGTACAAAGTCCCACTAAACGATCGCAGCGCTACGCCTACTGTAAGTTCAAAGTCCCACTAAACGATCGTAGCGCTACGCCTCCCGCCAGTCCAAAGTCCCACTAAATGATCGCAGCGTTACGCCTGCCGTAAGTACAACGTCCCATTAAACGATCGTAGCTCTACACCTGCCGTAAGTACAAAGTCCCACTAAACGATCGTAGCGCTACGCCTGCCGTAAGTACAAAGTCCCACTAATCGGTATTTCGTAAACATAACATCGAGACAATCTTTTGAAGTAATGATGAAATACATAAATGAATGTAGTTTTTTTTTACATCGACAGACCACAGGCCCCTCCTGCAAATCTATTTTCGGAGCGGCTGCAACTATATTTCAGTGTTCATATTCTATTAATTGATTCATATAATTAACATAGCAGGTAAACGTTGATAGTGTTTCACGAGTAGCATTATCACTTGTTGAGATAATCGATAAATATCCATTTTTGTTGAGTGGGATGGAACCCATCTTCAATCAATTCCCAATCCTCCAGCTGCACCTGCCTACCTCAGTCACAAGTGTTTGAGAGATGCATTGAAATTGTGCTGAAGCTCTTCCTAATCTTGTAAAATTTATCCGAAAAAGATTCGCTGGGGAATTATATGTCCTGAAGGGCTTGTAACAAGTCCATTTTCTTATTAAAACACTTGTGATGACCGTATTGTAGTATATATACTAAAGCATTTGGCGTACAATAGTCTACGAATCTAGATCATTGGGAACTCATTTATATTACACAAAACCTACAATGGAGCCATGGGTATTATTCTCAGTCATAAAAAAAGACACAGGATCGATTCTTGGTATAAGACAAAACATTTAGCAAATAATGCAATAAGTACGAAACCAAAGAACACAAAAACAATGAACACACGCCTGGCGAACTGGATCTCGGGCCGATCTCAGTTGAAGATGGATCGCCTTCTGAGTGTACTCGAGGTCAAACTGAATCTGGCCTCCGCATGCTCTTTCATCATGGCCGGTCAGGGTGCCATCACAGAGGGTAATGACTGGGAATTGACAGCATTACGGGATTCAAGCGACAGCAGCTTCTTACGCTAGGCTTAGATGGAACCCCCCGTTGCGTGTAGCAAAACAGCGGATAGATGTCGGCATAAAGACTGACCGGACGTTTTGGGAATGTTTAAAAAACTAATCACTTTTTAGATTATTGTACATGTCAACATCCAATTGGCCATCACTCATCCCTTCTGTGCGGGTAATGATTGATGTGGAACAGTGAGTTTCCGATTTCATCTTCCCATTGTGAAGAAGTGATTGAAACTGGTAGTTTCTGTGAAGAACTTGGATAGCGTGTACCAATAAATGGGTTCAGATGAAGATCAGAGAATGAGGTTTGAGTTTGTATTTAAGGATGATTGGAAGAAGTCATTAAGAAGCCATTTTATTATCATTAAGAATAATAATCCGATCGAATCTGGGATTCGAACGTCAACTGGCGGATCCTAGAAAGGCTAAGGGACGCAACTCTTCAAAATTTCCGATGTCCCACATGTACTAATAGGTACGTATCCAAAGGAAACAAAGCAAAAACATTCCGCGAACCGAGAACCGGAGGTTTTGTCCCGAACCGATGGTCCACAACGCCAAAAGAGGATGGCAGGAATTAACAAAGAAAACGAAACTAAGTATTCTAGTGGTGGAACATATGCTGACTATGCTTCGCACATATTATACTGTGAAAAGAATATGAAATTAGATACACTGGCGAAATATGACTTAGCATAATGAAGTGTGATGGTGAAGCTTACCTTTAACATGAAGGTAAAAACAGGAAGTCGTTGAACCTTCTTCATTCTCAGCTCGACATTTGTACGCAGCCTCGTCGCCTTTGTTGACGTTCTCGACGGTAAAGACGTACACGCCGTCACCGTTAGATTCGATGTGGATGCGTGGGTGGTCTAGAACCTCCTCATCGTCCTTATACCACCTAAGCACCGGCCTCGGGAACCCGATCAACTTCGTCTCCAACTGCACCGTCGCCCCCTCGTTTACCGTCTCTTCACCCCTTAACCTCTTCGTAAACTCCGGGGCTGGCGAGAAAAACAACAACAGCACGTTATCAAGGGGAAGGATTATTTTCAGTAAGTTTCTAACTTAGATATACATGTATAATGATTGCTTCCTACCTGTTGGATTGTTCAGGTCAATTGTTTCATTGTTTGCCAAGAGGTAAATAGCAACATTAACATCAACGAATGTCTTTGACTTAACAAGCGGCTAAATGTTAATCCCAACTATGCATTCACAGAGTTGATGTTTCCACTTCTGGTAGGGTAAAAACACAATTTTTTTACAATTTTTAGGAAACGAACTATGGTCATCCAACAGAATAGACCCATACATAGATCCATCATGTCAGTCACTGAATTATCTATCCCTGATTCGATTCCATGGATACTGGGATATTGCTCTTGGCACCAAAATGGTCAATTAGTACCGATAACTGTTGTTTGTGTTTGACTTTCTGGAATCCACCGCATCAATATCATGTTAAAGTTGACACACATGTTGACAGGTTGTTATTATCTACGCGAAGATGAAGGAAGTTGTCTCTCATTACGAGTTTTGTTTCCAATGTTAAAAATGAGATAATTTGACATTTCAAAGGACAAGAGCACATGCATAAACATGTGGTTTTATGTACTGTAAGGCATACTATATCTGTAAATAATCGGCATTAAAGTAATCGAATTTCTATTCCATAAAACATTTTTCGATAATGTGAACACATCAGTACAGCTAAAATGGTTCCCCTAAATAGGTGCTGTCTTGGGTGAGTGAGTAGATTGTTTTTACGCCGCTTTTTAAAGCATATTTCAGTTATATCAAAGCGAAATCATCAATTTTTGAAGTTCACAGCCATAATACCTGCATTCTATTCTTGAATAAAACAACATAAGTTGCTTTAAAAAGTAAAAGAATGAAATTTTCGCCGTTGTCAACCCTAAAATAATTGTTTAAATCATTTACAGAAGAATATGTGTCATGGGTCATTGGCTTCTTCCTGACATGAAATGGAGCGTTTCCAAGCAGTAACGGAAAAGTTCGTCAACTTCCGGGTACCCATTCAACTAACTGGATGAGGTCTACTATCATGGACCCTTTCCATTGTAACACTCAACATGAACATGACTACATGCATGAAACCATGTGCAAACACAGCTGTAGTAGATGAAACATCCATATACTGTTGTCCAAAAATCGAAGTTATGTCTATATTGATACGAATAAGTGAACCATTGACATATAACAAATGGCGTCACAAATTTCGCTCGAATAAGAAACTCGTAATCATAAAATACAAACGAATATCAAAATAACTAATAATATGGTACCTACACGCTGATATGGCTAAATACATTATATTCAGATGTTAACATGAAAGTCTATGTAGCCAAAGTCAGTATCGATGGCTTACGAAGTTCCGAGTGCGGCCATGACACTTTGGAATGAGCTCATATGTTTTCTCTCGCCTCATTGGCCTGCTGTTTACATCCACCGATAGACTATGAGTCTCCCACAAGACCTGTGATTTTCTGACAGCATTTATAAAACTCTTTAAATACACTTCTTTTGTAGTGTCTTAAATATATGTCTTAAATATCTCTGTTTGAAACTGATATATTTCTCAGATTTGATGAAAACCTATGTTTTGTGCTTGATTCTCAGTACTATAGTACTGTCGGAAATGCTAGAAAAATGCTTTTTTGACTTATATTTAAAATTCAGAGGTATTACAGTTACTTAAATAACAAATATCACTTCAAGAAACATCTACCTAATGTAGACCGAGGGAATAAATTTTGAGACATGCTCTAAAATGTGTTTTTACTGATGAAAATACAAAAAACTTAGAAAAATAAGGGGTAGTTGGACGTTATTTGAAACAAACATTAACTGCCTGTGTTACGTCATCAGCATGCACGGTATCGACAGGTGAAATTGACACCTGAGCACACGATCGGGGCGAGGGGTCACCTCAATAGTTGTTTTCTGCAAAATGTTGAATATGTGTACGTATAGTATACGTATCAGTTATGTAAGGGATCATTTGTGTATGTGTGTTTGTTTTGAAATAAACATACGAATTACTGTACATTGGAAAGAATCCTATCACTTGTGTTATCTTATCGACTGCTTGTAGAAATGTGCAACGTTTTAATAAATGTTTTGCTTGTCAACAGTATATTTCATTGAAAAAATATGGATGTAATTCGGTCAGTTTAATCTAGTTGTGAACATTGGCCAAAGATTTAACGAAGTCACTGGTGTAGCTTCTTTAGAATATATATATTTTTCTTCTCATAAAGTTTGTAGACCGCCCGTCTAAGCACTCCCTTGTCAAAGATGTCAAGGATGGTTTTACTTCCCGGTTTTGCATTTGAGACGGTCCCTGTCTTGTCTCATTTGTTTACAATATTGGAAACTTGTTGGTAAGACATGCCAACAGCTCTACAAGTTCTGTAATAAACCCTTTCTAAACTAATGAAAGGTTTACCTCTGACTTTTTTAAGCAGAAAAAACCTATAAACCTTTGCAACAATCGACTGCAAATCGTTGGCCATAGTGGACGCTGTGATAAAGATGTGCATGCATGACGGGAAACTTATTTATCAAGACTTAACATTTATATTAATATTTCTTCAATAAAGAAAACGATACTTTAGTGAAGTAACACAAACATTCAACATTTATTTGTTTAGGATAAACGTTAATTCATATTTTTACACCACCTGTATTATTAGCATAAATGTAAAGACTATTTCAGATTTCTGTTGTTGAACTCTGAAAAAATCTTAAGTTGCTGTTTTGGTACCAAATTCTCTCCTGTAAACTGCCCTTTAAATGCATGGGAATGTTAAATCGATTGAAATAAAAATTAGGTAGACAATAGGCGAGTTGATATATTGACAACATAGTACATTTATCACCTTTATAAAGATATTAAGGCTAAAAAAACATTTTTCTAGCATTTCCGACAGTACTTTAGTGCAATAGCGGGAGAGGGCTTGTTAACACATCTCGTAAGATTTCACAATAACGATTCAAAACGGAAACAAATGTCGAGAAGGCACATGATAAAATAGGCAATGAATAGTGTTATAGTTTCCTACTGCCCTACACGTACGCTTGTTTCATCTCTGATTTAAGAAAAATGTAAATTACGTCCAATTTTACCATCAGACAACATCTAATATACGATGCAAGTTCTATTTCCGAAAACTGATGGAATTTTGCCCACGCCATATTTTCCAATAATAGTGCTTTTTTGAAGTTCCTGAGCACACGTGTCGAATTCAATTTTCATTTTCGTTACATCCAGCCTATTACATCCTTAAAAGACTTTATCAAAGTGCATGATTGAAAAGCTTCACTTTCGGGATTATCATCAGTACGCCCCCTATAGGCGAGAGTTCCTGTGTCAGGTCCGATAACTCTAAATCTACTTCATCAAACGAATAGATGAGGTCTGACCTAGCTTTGCACACAGCTCAATGGCAATTTAATAGACCATCGATTTATTTCTAATTTTGAGGGGCGCTCACTCCCATTGCAGCAAAAAAGGAAAATTGACGGTGTTTTGCCAAGACAACTCGAACGCCAAATTGAATCATTTTGACGCAGGACAGAACAAAATCGTTTGATCGTGAAATTAATATGACTACGAGGTATTTGGCGGGTTTAATTCCGATGAAAGGTAATTAACAAGAATCCTATCTCGTGCGGTGTCCTCATCGTCGTCGATGAGGCTGTCGCTGAGGAGGAGGGTATTGAATGCCGTATCACGGGAATGGGGAGAGCTTCGCCGGAAGAGTGAAGGCTGCACGTTTTGTCTGTTATAGGTGTGAAAAAAACCCCAAATACTTTATCGCACTTTTCAAACAAAACATGTGCAGGGATATTTTTGTCATTTGATTATGTTCAAAACGCGGATTCCACACAGGATCAGAAATTTCGAAATTGGTTTTCAATTCTACATCTCATCGGCCACTGTAAGCCTGGAGATTTAACACGCTTCAATTTGCTGTCATGGGTTGCGTCCCTTTGAGATATTCGCATGCTTGACGTGCCAAACAGTGACTAGAGAGGAGTGAGTGAGTGAGTATGGTTTTACGCCGCTTTTAGCAATATTCCACCAATATCACGGCGGGAGACACCAGAAATGGGCTTCACAAATTGTACCCATGTGGGGAATCGAACCCGGGTCTTCGGCGCCAACGCTTTAACGACTTGAGAGGAGCAGGGAGTATTCATCGTTAACCACTCATAAACGACTCACTCAGTGTTTTTACAGCGTAGTAGAGATTTCTTCAATATAATCCATAACAAAGTTGTTTTAAACATTTCAGTTTCTAAGGTCATTTGATGGTTGGTCGTGGTTTAAGTGGGTCGAACCACTCGGGTCATGCGGATCTGAGGGTTAATGGTTGGTGTGGTTTGTTAGGTGGTTGGTTTGTTGTTTAACGTCGTTCTACGCAATTAGGATACGATGTGTTGGTGTGGTGATCTATACGTAATAGGGGCATATGTATATATAATATAAGTCTTCACAATATTTATATAAACATATGTATCAGTACCATAGGTATTGGCAGTTGGCTTTTACCGGAGCAGTAGAAATACATCTTAGGTTGTGTTGGGAATCGGAAACCAAATCCACTATCGATTGTCGGAGGATTTATGGTGAGCGATTATCGATCATAATCGAAATATTTACATTTTTAATGTAATCAGCAATTTTAAGGGTTTTCCACAGTTTTTTTCTAATTAATATTAATGTAATTATTCTGTTTATTTATTAAACGCATATTTATTAGTATATCTCATTACGTTCAAAATAGATGCAACATTTATTCATAGACAGGTTACAGTAATATTTACCGTAGTGATGAATACGGAACTATGAATACAATGTACTTAGCTTTATGCTGTTGAGCGCATGTTTGTTCGCGAATATTCGTCAAATTTAATGGTTAGTTTACTTCATTCAAGTGTGTCATACTAAAACAACAAAATTCAGATTAATCGA